TGATCCCTTCGACACCTCGTGGTTGCATAGGCTGGTGTGCTTCTTCCATGTGGGCTTTGTTGCTTCTGAGCTTGATGGCCGCTTGATTACCTTATGAATGTCTTTTGCCTCCTAGTTCTTTCCTTTATTTCCTTTTACTTTCCTCCGGTCCCACTATCATGCTCAACCTTCATTCAGCCCTCTGTACTTCCTCTAGGCTACACTGCACTTGATCAAACCCCACCAGGCATTCTGTGCCCTCCTGGCCATCGCTTTTAGATCTCTTGCTCCTTTGTCCCTGGGGAGAAAACGGAAATTTTTTACCAATTTCTACCATCTTAAAGTGGTCAAATATATAGTCAAAATATTATGGTAATTACTGGTGACAAGAATAAAAGTTGGAAACAAGGATCAATAATTGGAAAATACATCATTGGTGATAAAAATGACCTTAAAGATCTCATGATAGACGTTTTCATGACTAGTGACTTATTCTTTTTAACACCTCTTTTCAGAAACCTGAACAGCAACTACTTTTATCTTATCTTTCCACTTGCCAGATGGAATAAGCAGGAATTCATCTGTGGAAAGAGATAACAAAGAAGTTCAATATCATCAAACAACAAGGCTAGGGGTAGGCTGCAGAATAGACCATCAATGGCTCATATATAAATTCAGTTGAAGATGATGAAAATTAAAGCATGCCCTTAGCAGCCAAAATACAATTTTGAATGTTTCATCTGAATTTATAGACCATTTCAATTGTATATTTGATATACTGAACATTAACAATCAAAGATCAGACAACTTGTGGGATAAAGGACATCAAAGGTACATGAAGAAATCAAAGGGTCTGTAAAAACTCCAGAAAGAAAGAAAAGACCAAAATGGCTATCAGAGGAGACTCAAACTTGCTTTTGAACATAGAGTAGCAAAAGGGAAAAAATGATGAAGTAAAAGAGCTCAACAGAAGTTTTCAAAGGATCGCTGGAGAAGATAATTAAATGTGGCTGCAGCAGTACACCACCAGAGCTTCCAGGCATTCACACCAGATTCAGAAGAGGATGTGGAATAAGGACATGCTTTAATTGTCATCATCTTCAACTTGAATTTGCATATGAGAGACTGATGGATCTTGGTTGAAGGCAGAGAATATCAGGAAGGTATTTATCTGGTGGAAGGGAGGGTTGACTATGCAAAGCTATTCTGTAGTATGGATCATAAATTCTTTGGTAACATTATGAAAAATAGGAAGCCTAAAACACTTAATCGTGCTCATGCAGAACCTTTACATAGTCCAAAAGGCAGAACGAAGGGATCCCATGTGACTTAAAATCAGGAAATGTGTTCATCAAGGTTCTGTGTGCCAATCAAATAATTGAAGAAACGTGTTGCAACATAAGATTGGAGGAAAACTCATGAACAACCTTAATATGCACATGACATAACCTTGCTGGCTGAAAATGACAAGAAGACTTGAACCACTTACTGCTGCAGATCAAAAACCACACACAGCTTTCAGTGTAGATTACACCTCAACATAAAGAAAACAAAACTACTCATATCTGGATCAATAATCAGTATCATGAAAAACAGATTGAAGTTGTCAAATTTCATTTTACTTAGATGCACAGTCAGCACTCACAGAAACAAGCAGCAGCCAGGAAACCAAGTGGCATATTGTATCAGGCAAATCTGCTGTAAAAGACCTCTTTAAAAGTTAAAGAGCAATGGTGTCGCTTTGAAGAAGGTGCATCTAATTGAAGCCTTTGTATTTTCAGTCACTTCATAAAATGTGTAAAAGGTGAACAATGACTAAGGAAGACCAAGGAATTGATGCCTTTTAATTAAGATGTTAGAGAAGAATATCCCATGGACTGCCAAAAGAACAAACAAATCTGTTTTGGAGGGAGAACAGCCTCTGGAAGTGTCATCAAGAAGGGCCTGTCCGTGGAGGACATCATGCTTAGGAGTGTGTCAGTGAACACGAGGAAGGCCCGCAAAGGGATGGAGTTCCACAGGTTGCTGTCAGAACCGACTCCGTGGTGCCCAGCACCAGCACCAGCACCGGACCTTTTCGACAGAGTACCGATTCAGACTACAAAGTGACTCTCAGAATATTTACATAACTAGGTTTAGTGCTTGTTTCATATATTAAGTTCCCCCAACATCAAAGACTATCTAGGGTTATAAATTTGGAGGCTCAAATAGTGCATAAAAATTAACATATTACTGTTTTTCAGTTTTCATCTGTTTTCATAATCTGGATTTATTAACCAGTAAGGCTCGTCACCTAGATACATAATAACATATAAGTAGCATATTCAGTTAATGTCTCTGAGGCAGCAGAGTGGACCTCTTCTCAACACAGGAAAAGTCTAGAATATCAAGTAGGCTTTTCTAGTAGCTCAGCAGTACAAAATGGCAGAAAAGGAAACTAGGGAGTTGTAATGTATACTTTCACACTTGGCCTCTAATGTAATATTTAAATGCAGGAGGGTTTCTGATTTCTGAAAAAGAAGTAAGATTCTATATTATGTATGAATATGTAGCCTAATACAAATATTTAAATGTATTTTAATTGGGTGTGTTCCTTGAAAATTAAGGCATTTTTAACTAGATCTCTTTAAAATCAAAGTTATTTGTACATTTTACAATAAAATTGCTTTTATGCCAAAGAGGTATAAACACCCTGAAAGTGATAAGCCTGGCTCAAAATCATATTAGGTATTAAGTACTTTGAGGTATAGCTTACGCCCTCCATGGAAAGAGCAAATTCTTTCAGGGTAATGGGTTGTCAGCCTGAAAGTAATTTGGCACCTTTGACCCAACTGTGGTCACTTTTCTCCTTTCTTTCAAGGTATCAGAGCGTTTGAGTCAACCAGGAGTAGCAATAGGTCTGGCCTGGACTCCCTTAGGTGGGGAAATCATGTTCGTGGAGGCCAGCCGAATGGATGGCGAAGGTCAGTTAACTCTGACTGGTCAACTCGGAGATGTGATGAAGGAGTCTGCCCATCTTGCTATCAGCTGGCTTCGCAGTAATGCAAAGAAATACCATCTGACTAATGGTAAGTCCTCTCCCCACGGTTGGAGTCCAGCCATGAGGGAAGAGGAACCTGAGATCCTTATCCAGAAGACAGTTCACCGTTCTGTGAAAGAGATTAAGATGAGCAGTCAGGAAAATACGAACATTTACTTTCTTGAACCCCGGTGGAAATTCTTATTTACCATTTGTCTGAACTAGAAACACATTTGAAAGGGCTTGTTTTGTTTGTAATCATACTTGGAATAAAGTATAACATTATAATTCTCATCCTCCACTCAATTGTACTATACATTGATATTTTGCAAAATTTATTAACCCAAAATATTCAGTCACTTCTTTAATTTTCTTTTTAGAAATAAAAAAAGCAGGCTTACTTTTTTCATTTTAAAAGTCTCTTTTCCTTTTTAAAGCTTCAGGAAGTTTTGATCTTCTCGACAACACAGACATCCATCTGCACTTCCCAGCTGGAGCTGTCACAAAAGATGGGCCATCTGCTGGAGTTACCATAGTTACCTGTCTCGCCTCACTTTTTAGTGGGCGGCTCGTACGTTCGGATGTAGCCATGACAGGAGAGATTACGCTGAGAGGTCTAGTTCTTCCAGTAAGTATAAAGAAATCTATTGACATGTGTTTTTTAGTTTACACATTCCTCTAGCGTGGTTTTAAACACGTTGATTTTTTTCTACTTATACTAATTCACATTTAAAATTTTTAACCAAATTTTAATAATTGACAATTCTTCCCTTCTACTAATATTAGTCTCATCATCAAAAGTATCAGTTGTTCAGATGAAGATTAAAAGGCCTTGCTAACTAATAAACTTAAACAATATCTTACATATGTAAAATAGAGTAGTTTTTAAAAATGAAGCCTGATTACTACCTTTTGACATTTCTTTGAGATCTTCCTGTAGAAAACTTAGAAAGCTGTAGTTTGTAGATTTATAGAGGGGAAAAAGGAAGTATAGACTGGAAAGTATAATAAACATTGACTTTATCTAAACAGTCAAAGAACTGTGGACCTCTACAACCAGAGGAACTAAATGGTGCCCAGCTAGCACTGGGTAGGGTGGGAGAAAAATGTGGAACAAAACCAAAAATCATAAAAGAGACTAGGCTAACTAGTCACATAGAAACTGAACCCCTTTGGGCATTCTTAAAGCCTGAAACTGAACTGACCCCCCTGGCTCAATTTCCAGCCGAAGAATAGACTGATGAAGGAAAGAATAATACTAAGGCAGAACTTAACCAACGAAAGGGGCAACATTTGCCCAGGGGCAAAGTTCAAAAAGAGGAATGGAAAAGAAATGTGGAAGAATGAAAACCGGAAGGAAATATAGGGTAGAAGTGAGATGTCACTGTCAGAGTTGTAATCCATGACATGAAACAAAGTACGTGTGAATGAATTGTTGAAAGGATAGAAAAATGTTTGATAGAAGTATGTTGAAAGGATTACTGATTTACTTTAATCTTCACCAAATTCATGATAACAGGTAAAAAAATTATTTAAAGATTGCCCAAAGGACAAACCATTCTCTCTTGGAAGAAGTATGGCCAGAGTACAGTGGTTCTCAACCTTCCCAATGCCACAACCCTTTAATACAGTTGCTCATGTTGTGGTGACCCCCAACCACAAAATTATTTTTGTTGCTACTTCATAACTGTAGTTTTGCTACTGTTATAAATTGGGCCACTCTTTTGAAAGGGTCGTTCGACCCCCAAAGGGGTCATGACCCACAGGTTGAGAACTGCTACCTTAAAGGCAAGGATAGTGAGAATTTGTCTTACAGACTTTGGACATGTTGTGAGGAGGGAACCAGTCCCTGGAGAAGGACACCATGTTGGTCGAGGGGCAGTGTAAATGAGGAAGGCCCTGATGAGATGGTTGACACAGTGGCTGCAGCAGTGGGCTCCGGCATAGGAACAATTGTGAGGAGGATGCAGGATGGGGCAGTGTGTGTTTCTTCTGTTCTGCTCTGTGTAGGGTCACCATAGGTAGGAACTGACTCAATGGCATCTAACAAGTGCTAAATTTCTAAGAAGTTCTATTCATGTGGGGCTTCATATCCACAAAAAACCTGTGATAAAATGTATACTTGAGGGTGTATTTACAGCTTTAAGTCACTATTTTAGCAGGTTCATGGCAAAATAAAAAATGTTCTTTTTCCTGAGAAACTATTTTATGAAGTAATGGAAGTGAGAGTAGATCACAAAGTTGCCAATTAAAATAATTCAAAATGCTCTGTTCTGTGCCTATAAAGGCAGGGTCATATTTTAAACCCTATTAATTATGCTATATTTGTAGATCTCTATCCAAAAGGCATGGCTGCTTTCTTTTCTTCCCTATACCCCAGGGGCCTCTTAAATTCTAAATGACAATAGTTGATACTTGTTAAGCTGCTAAAAGGAAATTAGCAGGTACTTGACTGACCATAAGCTGTCACATCAGTTGTCAAGATGGCTGACTGAGCAAAGAATAAAAGAAAATGTTAGTAATGTGAAAAATAAATGAGACCATCAGCTGACAGTTCAACAGATTCCCTGAGGGCAGAAATATTCATCTGATGAAGCAAAATTAGACCTAGAGATAGTTATCTGCAGAAATCTGTGGAAAGTGCTGACTCAGACTTCGAAGGTGCTAATCAGAACAAGAATTGGAGATGAAAGTTAAAAAGCAGGGGATTCCCGCTGAACTTACATTAACAGTGGTGGAATAATTAGGAAAAGATAATGATCAAACTTGTATATGAAGTGTTGCTGCTGTCATTGAACTGTGTTTTGGAGAAACTTGAAATGGTAATTGTTTCAGTGTGCATATTTATATGATCAGGGGGGGAAATTAAGGGGATTCACTGAAAGTCTCTATAGAATAAATGAGTCTTCAATCTAGTCCTCTGTCTCAGAGCAAATAACAACTCTGAAAAGGCTTCCTCATCCCCAGCAGAGGAAAACCACATCAGCTTTGAGTAAATCTTCACATTAAAAATAGTGCCAAAGACAAAAAGAAGGGGGGAAAAAAGGCAGTACTTTAGAGAAAGACCTGCTAATGCTGGAGAAAATATAATTAAAGAACAGAAGCTAAGACAAAGCTCTTAGATTTAAGACATGGTTTTCAGAAATAGTCAAAGGACCTTTAAGAGTAAATAACAGAAATGAACAATCTGACAAATCCTAATCTCATTAATAGTTTTAGCAAATAAAACGAGAACAAATTATAAAAGAAATAATGAAACATTTCCTAGAATTTTAGGTATCTTCCAATTGAAAAGGTCTACACCAATAGGAAGGAAAATAAGTTCATCCTCATGAATTTTCAGATCACCAATAAAGCTTTCTTCTTGAAAATACTAAAACAAATCATTTTTTATTTATTCTTAGGTATATAGCTTTTCTATCACATGGGAAAACAAAATAGGCATTTTCATACCTGCATGGACTCAGTTTATCCTATACGCTCTTTCCATGTGCTTTGAAAAAACTTACATGGAAAAAAGCAAAACCTTGGAAGCAGAGGATGACAGGCTAGGATGGCAGCTGTGGGAGAGGCTCTAGAGCTGCTACCTAGATTGGGATGCATGCTAGCAGGGCTCTCAGAATGCTGTCCCCGGGGAATACGTGTGCTAGGTGATGTGACTGAAAGCTGTGTTCATTAGCACATTACCTCAAAGCAACAGTATTTATTTTTACAGTGTGCTTTATTAGGGTGCTGTCAAACATTCAGGAGAGTTCATAGGGTGCTGCTGGTTCAGGGTCTCTAATCTTACATTCAAGATACCAGCCATCTAAAACTGGGATGTAGGATTTGCTTCCCAGGTGGTTCCCTCTCATGATTGACAGGTTGATCCTAGTCGTTGTATGCTTAAGGCCTCAAACAGGGCCACTGACTTCCTTCAAAGAAAGTAATCCAAGAAAGTAGTTTAGTCTCAGCGCTGTTTTTATGACACTAGTCTTTGAAATCATAAGGCATTACTTGTACTACTCTCTTTCTTATGTCACTAAAACTAGCCCAGATGCAACAGAAGGGGGAGTTAGACACTACCTTTTGGAAGTAGAATTTGTGGATGTATTTTTAAACTACCACAGAGCTACAGTTTGAGGATGTTTCCTGCATGCTTTAAGAAAACAAATATAGGGAAAGCCCTGTCAAAAGTATGAGTAAATTTAAAATGTATAATTAAAGAGTTGGTGATGGTTTTTTTTAAAAGATGCATTTGAACTTGATGCTAGTCCTCTTCATTAAGTTGCATAGTGGCCATAGCTTTAAACTAGAGGAGGAAATAGTCTTAGCATGCAAATAAGCTCTGCAGGGACAGTGCTCATCATGTTTTTTCTTGACTTTCAGAATCAACTTATAGACAATATATCACAGGAGATGTTAGCTTTGATGATGTAGCCCAAATAAAAATAGTTGGTATGAAGGTACTGATCCCTATTCAAAACTTGAGCATAATTTTTTCCATTTAAAATTAGGGACTATGTATAGATACTAAAACTAATGATATTGGGATCAAGTTAGTTTCAATATATAACTCTAATTGAAACACAAATTTTGTTACTATTTATTCATCTTTTTAGTGACGTTCCCGTGTCATGCTGTACCAAAATGGAAGCTGGTCTGGGCTTTTTAAATGGTGATGGTTAAATGCCGTGAAAGATGGGTCAAGTTTCTTCTAAGCCAGAGGAGAAGGGTCAGAAACCTAATGTTCTTTTTCCTTACAGGTAGGTGGAATTAAGGACAAAGTGCTGGCAGCACACAGAGCAGGACTGAAGCAAATCATTATTCCTCAGAGGAATGAGAAAGATCTGGAAGAAATCCCAAGCAATGTGCGACAGGATTTAAATTTTGTCACAGCAAGCTGCCTGGATGAAGTTCTTAATGCAGCTTTTGATGGTGGCTTTACTGTCAAGACCAGACCTGGTCTCCTAAATAGCAAATTGTAGACCCATTCTCAGCTTCTCTGAATTTTAACTTCTGAAGTGTCATGGTATTGACAAAAGTTTATTTTATTCACATCAGTAGGGGTAAGCAGAATTTATGAACATAACCACAACAGTAATGGTCCTTACTCAGCATGTGACTAGTGTTGATTAAAGTACTAGATGCTAATTTAATAAATCAATAAAAATTGGATTCTTTCTTGTCTTTATAGTGAGATCATTGTTGTCCCTAAAAAGGCCTAGAGCATTGGTTCTCAATGTTATCCCAGAACAGAAGCCTCTATGTCACATGAGAACTTGTTATCCAAATGCCATTAGGTTGATTCTGCCTCTTGACCCCAGGTATATCAGAACAGAGCTGTGGTTTACAGGATTTTCAGTGGCTCATTTTTTGGAAATACATCACTAGGACTTTCCAATCAAGGCTCCTCTGGCTGGACTCAAATTGCCAGTCTTTCATCAAGTATCTGAGAGTGTTAACTGCTTTAACCGTCCAGGGACTTGAGAACTTGTCTGCCACCAAGTTGATTCCAACCTAGCGACCCTGCAGGAGAGTAAAACTACTGAAATATTGGAGCAAATTGCCAGATCTTTTCTTCCTCAGAGCTGCTGGTGGGTTAAAACTGCTAACCTGTCAGCAACTAAGCACTGAACCACTGCACCACCAGAACTCCTGGAATACTTGTTAAGCATGTGAATTCCCAGGCCCAGAACAGACCTCCCAAATCAAATTCTCAGGATGTGATCCAGAATTTGTTGATGTAAGTCCTCCAGGTTTAATTCCAATGCATGGTAAAATCCAAGGACCATTTGTATAAAACATGCATTAATTAAACAGAAGCAGCCTGTGGACTTTATTGGACCTTGAAAATAATTACTTAAAGCGGGAACTGTGCAAAGACTAAAAATATGCAATCAGAGTATTGATCCTGGGGCTCTAGTTCATACATGCATGGGTAAAATCCAAACAAAATTATTCCTACAGGTCTCTGTGATTCAGTGAGTGGCTGTAGACAAGTTCACTCAGTAACAGTCCTCTTCACCTTTGTTATGGTACTTTGTGAAAAAGGAGGGGAAAAAGTATACTTTTTGTGCCATGGAGTGGAAATTATTTTGAGGTCAGGGTTAATAATTTTTTTAATTAAAAAAAAATACCCAAGTAGACATCTTCACAAATTATTGAATTTCATACCAGTTTAGAGGAATGCTACCCCATTTAAAAAAAAAAAAAAGGTTTTAAATGGATCAAGTACTTTAAAGGAGGTTGGAAAAAAAGTCTAAAAGCATTCAGTATAGAGAGGGCAGCTCCGGTTGTTTTTAGTGTTCCAAAAGGATAATCTTAGTGGATTTTCTCAGAGGACACAGGACAATCACAGGAGCATATTAGGATGAAATTTTAAGAAAATTGAAAACTACTGAAAATAAAGGTTAGAGAAATGAAAATAGAGGAACCTTTATCTAGGTCTATATATTTCTTAAGGTAGCTTCACATTTGGGTATTTTTGTTTAATAGAGGTTTCTTTTTTTTTTATACTTATAGTCAGCTACTAATCGTGTGGAAAATGAAGTATGTGAATTAAGCAAACCCTATGATAAGTCCTACACAACCCAACAACTCTACAGTAATGGCACTTAAAACCAGATGCTTTATATTAGACTAAATAGCAAGTCTTACACCTCACAGGAGGGTACTGGCCTCATGCCCCTCACTCCCATTGAGTCGATTCCAACTCCTAGTGACCCTGTAGTACAGGGTAGAATTCCCCGTGAGTTTCCGAGACAGGAATTCTTGATAGTATAAAACCCCATCTTTATCCCTAGAAAAGTCCCCAGAGGGAGGCAGCCATCTATCCTGGGAATCCTGACTCCTGCTACCTCCCCTTCTAATTCTTGTTTGCCTTTGTAACGTCTCAGATCTGGTAGATATCCATGCCTTTAAAGATTCAGTCAACTATAGTTACCTATGAAATCACACTCTTATGCTCATGAGCTATATGAACTTCCTGGGTCCTAGTTTTTCTCATCTGTAAAATGTATGCAATAGTATCTAACTTGGTGGTCTGTGGATTTAGGTAAAATGTATATAAAATAACTTATTTAGTGTAAATAGTTACGTTTTCCAAGAACCCTGGGGGCGTAGTGGTTATGCATTGGGCTGTGATCTGCAAAGTTGGACGTATAAAATCACCAGCGGCTCCTCAGGACAAAGACAAGGCTTTCTACTCCGATAAAGTATTGAAAACTCATAGGGGGCAGTTCTACCCTGCCCTGTAGCATTACTGAGTCAGCATTGACTCTGGCTGTTATCATTCCAGCCAGTAATGACATTTAAAGCCCTCTATTATGCAATATATCTGATGGCAGTGGTTATACACATTAGGCTGCTAACTGCAAGGTCAGCAGTTCAAAAACATCAGGAGACAAACGGATTTCTACTCCCGTGAAGAGACTCACTAATTCAGAGAGGCAGTTTTGCCCTGTCCTATACAGTCATTATTCGTTGACATCAACGCAAAGACAGCGAGTTTGGGTTTATTTGTTGGTTTTTTGTTGTTTTTTTTTGGGGGGGGGGGCTTATTATACAATATAGCAATGAGAATGGGGTCTGCAAGTTGCCCAACATACTGTATACTCAACCTGATACAATCTTTATCTGTAAAAAAAAAAAATCTTTATCTGTATGTGTTCTGGGATGACAACTCAGTTGGCATAAAAGGGGCATCGGGGCATTTGAAAACATCTTATCACCTCTAGCATAATATTCTTCTCTATCCAGTCAGTTTACAGGGGAGGAAAAGATACAAGCTAACATTGTCATTTCACTTCCAGCAACTAGAGGGAGCTCACACATTAAAAATGTTAATTGACGCAAATGGTTTGTGTGTGTATTTCCACTCAGTAGAGTGGCAACAAAGAAAAATTTTTTCTTTAAACCTTTGGGTCACCTATTTTTTTCAGCTTGAGAGTCCTGAACACACTCACATATCTTTGCATTTATCTGTAAGCAGCATTAGGGCATTTCCAGTGCCTCTTGATTTAAGCATGCTTCTAAGGAAACGGATGCTGTGTGAAATGCAAACAGCATGCCTTTATTTCCCCCACGGAGTCTAAAACTGTTAACCAAACTCCATGTTATCTACCCCCCCCCCCCCCCCCCCCCCTCTCTCTCTCACACACACACACACACAGCCGATTTTCTATTGACAATACTGATAAACTTGAGAAAAGCTAAGCAAGCAGGTTGGTCCAGGAGTAAAGCCATGGGATTGTATTTATTTAACCAATATTCTAAAGCGCAGATTTCTAAAACTTTTAAGCATTAAAACTAAATAAGGAACCCCCAATAACATTTTCTTTTAAATAAAACTTTTTAAGCTGTTAAGTGCCTTCCTTGGTTATCAATAAATGTTTGCCCTGTCTGAAGTATACAAATTTTTGGCTTTTTACTCTACTTGGTTCTCTCAACAATGAGTGTTGATTTGGTTTCTCATTGAACCTTACCTGGAACCATGCATCAGAGGTTGAGATCCTGAGACACATATTCAAACGATGGATCCTAAAATATATAACATATTTATAAGTCTGTGGCTTTAGTAAAGTTTCCTGATTGTCTGAAATTTAAATACTAAAGGTACCAGAAATTGTAAGGCAAAAAGCACAGAAGTAGATGTTCCGTTGCACGTGTCCTCATCATGAAAACAACTGCTGTGGGAGTGGCTGCTTGAAACGCAGAGGGGTCTTTGTTGGTGCGTGCAGCAGATTCACGACATATACCACCAGAAGGCTGCTACAAAACAATGAAACAGGGCTCCCTGTGGCATTCAATGGAGTATTTACTCAGCCATAAAAATAAACTCCTGATATATGCTACAATGTAGTTTAAAAACAATGCAGTCACGAAAGGGCAAATATTGATTCCACTTTCTTGAATTAGGTAAATATACAAAGATCAAAATCTGTTACCAACGGTGGCAGAGTAGGCCAACCATCAGGCTGCTAACTCAAAGGTTACTGTTTGAACACACTAGCCACTCTGAGGGAGAGATTAAGGTGCTTTCTTTAAACATTTATAACCTCGAAAACACTGGAGTTCTACAGAATGCAGTGCATCAGATTTGACTTGACGGTTTATTTTTTGACGCCAGGGGTGGGAGAAAAAAGGAAAAGTAGTTTTGGCTTAAGTTAAAGGGTCAGTAATGCAAAAAACAAAAAGTAAGATCTTCAAAGACAAGTATTGGCAGTGGCAACAATGGGCTCATAAATAACAGGATGGCCCTGGCTGAGTTTCATCCTATAGTGGCCCAGTTGGAACCAGCTGCTTGGTACTTAACAATGGACGTTCTGTGTCCACTTTTTGAGAAAGCACCAAATTCACAACAGTGTAGAGTGCATTCCCAACAGCTGAGGATGAAGGTTCCAGTTTCCCCTCATCCTTTAATACATTATTTTGCAAGTTTCTTTTTATATCAGTCATCCATCCTAGTGAAGTAAACCCTCCTCACTGTACTTCCTGGCTCCCACCCCACCCCCAACCATAAAATTGGTCACTGTGTCAGAATCAACTCAATAGCAATTGGTTGGGTTTGGTTTAACGAGAAGAAACCTGGTTGGTACAAACATTTGGTAACTGAAAAGCTGGAGCTTAGACCCAGATTTCCCTCAGAAAAAAGGCCTAGTACAATCTAGTTCTAGAAAAACTCAGTCACTGAAAACCCTATGGGGTGCAGGTTCTACTCTGCTGACACACATGGAAATACCACGTTCACAGTAACTGGTTTTAATTGGTGGGTTTTTTGCAGTTGAATAGATCCCAGCTCCTGGAATCCCATGTGCCATTTATGATTTCATTGGTGAAATGTCTATTTAATTCTTTTGCCTTTTTTGATTGGGTTGTCCTTTGTAGTGATTCCTCATAGCTTCTGGGTATTAAACCTTTATCAGATATGTAGCTTCCAAAATGTCCTCCTATGCGTTAAGATGTGTCTTGAAGATAGTTTTTAAATAAATATACCAGATAACCCTTTGGAACATATATACTGGGTAGGTAGGGACAATGGTAAAGGTTCAAGCAGTAGGTCCTCCAGGTTTCTACTACAACTTTTTCTGGACTTTTTTATATACCTGTATGACCTGATACAGTACTAATTAGTGAGTCATATTCTCTAACAACCTATTGTGTCCTGATTTACCTTTTGTTTGTTCTATGGCAGTCACAGACTAGGCAGCCTCCAAGTATTTTGTTCGATCCAGTCTTTTAAGTCTCAATTAGTTACCAACTTTTTCACTAGGGAATAATAAAAAGCTTCTGAGTTTTGGTTGTGGGGTGTGGTGAGGAAAGATAATGCCATTATTATTTTTAGTAGGCCAAACTATCTACAACTACTCACACTAAGTTTATAGAATAAGGACCTGAAAAATCACCCATGTCCATCAACAGATAATAGATAAAATGTCTATATGCACAGCCATAAAAAGAAAAATGAATACCAGAAAATTGCTACCTATCACATGGATAAACCTTGAAAACTTGAGTCAATCAAACACAAAAGGAGAAATATTGTATAATGCCACTACATGAAATAACTAGAATAGACAAAAGCATACAGGAAGTATGGGGGAAGGGAACTGGAAGATATTTTTGCTTAAAGGGAACTTTAGTTGTTTCCAGTGATTAAATGCCAAAATGGGTAAGGTTGCTGATTGTACATTAAAGTGTACACTTGATTTAAATGGCAAATGCTGTATTTTACCATAAAATTTTAGTCACACATATAACAGAAACCAAAGAAAAAAATGTTCTACAAACTGTCATTAACCTGGACCATGATTCAGTTTAGCAGGACAGAATATAAAAATGAGCATCACTTTTTCCTACCCCATGCACTCTTGAAAAAAAAAAAAACAAGGCATGAATAAAATAGGGCATATTAAAACAAAGATAACATGAGAAACAAAGAATTACAACTTTACAAATAAAACCTTAAGGACCAAGAAATGTTGACTATAGATAACATTCTTACAGGCCGAAAATATGAGTGACACTTAGGGGGATAAAAACCCACAAAATTAAATATTTAAACTGTTAGCCAACTTCATTAGGTCATCATTCAAAATTTATCTTTTTGCTAAAATTAGAAATTGGGCGATCTTTCACATTTAGTACCTCTCCCAGAAAGATTAGCTTTTGATCTAGCAGCTTTTCCAGAAAAGGGAATAATCCTGAGAATAAAATCAGAAAACAGGAAAAAAAAAAAAAAAAAAAATCAGAAAACAGGAATGTTCACAGGTTATTCATAAATATCCAAAAGAAACAAACAGCTTTGCTACAATACAAAGAGGCTAAATTTATCATGAAATCTACCCAGATATTACCAAGAATGGTATTTTCCTTACAGAATTAAGAGAGTGAACAGCTCAAAATGATCATGTTACATGTTAGGGTGAAAGTGGGTGTAGGTAAATTATAAAATCTCATTTTCTAAAAAATGTATATACATAAAAGACTGGGAAGGCAAATCTCTCAATAGTGGTAAAATCCCATGTGTATTATCATTTCAAAATCTATACAATGTAATACAGTAATTTATCAAGTGGTGATACAGGAATAATTGGTCAAATCCAAGTTTTAATTCTGTCATAAACCTTAAAAAACAAATATTTGAATACTTATTAGGTTCCTGGCACTGTTTTACATGCTGTAGATACAGCCATGAGTAAGACAAATCCTTGCTTAAATTTTGAGAGACCATCAGTAAATAATATTGCAGAAAATATATACTATGCAGAAAACATTAAGAATAACTGGTCATTAATCCTTGAACCAAAAGTATCCCATGAAGTCATGATTAAACTAACCATTTAACTCAATTAACACTGCCCCTTCAAAAAATATTATCTAACCAGGTGGGGAAGGGGAGGAGGTGGAAAGGAAATCAATCACCAGGATCGACATATAACCCCCAACCACGGGGACAAACAGAAAAGTGGGTGAAGAGAGGCAGCAGACGATTTCAGATATGAAAATATTTATAATTTATAAATATTTCAGAGGGAGAGGGTAGGGAAGGAAGGGGAAAAACTGAGGAGCTGCTATCAATGACTCAGGTAGAAAGAAAGCACTTTGAAAATGATGAGGGCAAGATCTGTACAAATGTGCATGACACAATGGATGAATGTATGGGTCGTGCTAAGAGCTGTAAGAGCCCCCAATGAAAGAATTTAATTTTTTTAATGCTGAAAACATTATCTAAAATTGACAAGCAATAAACCTTTACCACAGGTAAGAATGTGGAGGAGGTTCCAAGCTAACATTGGTGAAACACGTTGGGTGGAGACAAAATACTGACACAATATGAAGTAATATAACCATTATCAATGAACTAAACATGTAACAATTTGGACAAGTATGTTTTGTCATGTCTATTTTTAACAAATAAAATATCCACTTAGAAGTAAATATATATTCGTCTGGTTTTTTAGGGGACACTATAAATACCGTTGCCTCAGATGACGATGAAAAGATGACAGGGAGGAAAGAGAAAGTGGGGGAGCAGAGGGGAGCCCAGATACAAGGGCAGCAGGAAGACCCAATGTGGATACCCTGAGGTAGGACAGCACTGGACAAAGGGGGATGCTTCCTGTGTACAAAACAGACTACTCATCTAGATAGCAAGTAGGAAGAAAAAAGGTTACACAAGCATGCTATAACATTGTCATTTCAAATAATACTTTTTACAAGAACTACAAACCTCCTTTGACAGATTAACAGAACTGAATTTGATCTACAATTGGTGGTGGGATAAGAGGGAATACCCAAATTCCTTTCACCTTTCACTAGGGTTTAGGGTTTACGTGTACCTCACAGTGTAATTTGTAACCACTAATAAGTGCTGATTGCTAAAAACATAATAATAGTAGCTAACATTTGATGGGTGCTTGTTTCCTACAAAGTGATGTTCTAAGTAATGTTACCCCCATTTAACCCTGATGCAGCTACTATTATTAACCACACTGCACATCAAAGGAACCCTGGTAGCACTTTTGAATAAGTGATGGACTGCTAACTTCAAAATTGGTGGTTCAAACCCACCAGCCCTTTCCCGGGAAAAAGATGAAGCTACTCTGGAAACCCTACATCGAGGGTCACGCTGAGTCTAAAACAACTCAATGGCAGTGGGGTTTGGTTTTGTACACATAGGAAACAAGGTCACACAATTGGTAGATGTAGCACAGTCAGGACATGCCCAGTCACAACTTGACTCTTCAAAACTAAATTCATGTACAGTTTTCCTTAAAAGCGGGGGCAGGAGGGCCAACCGGGACAGACAGACAGCATTTTAATTAGACATTCTAATAAAGAGTTGGTGGGGAAAAAAGAAACAAAGATGACTGAGATCCAACCACCGGTCTTAGCACATGCTTGAGCTTTAGAATCTCTCTCCAAGAGAATGGTGCGTTACTTTCTGCGATATGGTCAGGGTACAGAATGGAAAAGGAAAATAACTTTGGATTTTCATCAAACTTAGAATTAAAGCAGACACATTGAGTTTTTAATTTGCCAGATATTCTTTTAATGAGAATTATAAAAGACAAAAACTTTTTTTGCAAACTGTCTTTTTAAACAAATTATTTGCTTTTAATTACAAATACTGTGTAAGACGATGCCTTCTTTGCAAAACCAATAAATAGAAGAACAAATTTTAAATTTATGATTTAGCCAAGATACTTGTGAGGGGTGGGGAGACAGCTGATTTTTTTCCATCTTTTTTTAAAAATCAATTCATTCCCTACCCTTTCAAATCATAAATTTGAAGGTATGACTCAAATGAAAAAGAGACTGAAACTATTTTACAGCTGCTTTAAATAGCTTTTGATAGTTCTTCCAATGTTATATTTCCTTTCTGAAGTCTTCATAAAATAGCTAAATTTAAAGTATTTCTAATGAACTGATTAATGGGGAAAAGAATCAAACACATATGTAGAAACTTCACCATAAACAATTATGCATATCAAAAAGACACTAACTTTTAAAAGGTACAAAAGTGAGGGGAAAAAACCTGAATTACAGAAAAGTCAAATTTATTTAATGAAAAACTAAAATTAATAAAAATTAACAAACAGGCCCCCCCAAAAAAACAAAACAAAACCAGCAGCACTATGTAGTGACTCACAAAGGGCTCGGAAAGCAGTGGTCCACGACCACTCCACATGGCTTGTCAGTTAAAAGGAGAGAAAAAAACACACATACACACATGCACGCGCACACATCAAAAAAAATTTTTTTTAAGTTTTCCAACAGTACAATCAATCTACAACAAACACAAATTCAGAATTATTTTACAATGCTTCCTGCAGAATCAACTTTCTTAATACAAAAGATGCCCATTTTGGGAGTATATATATATATATTTTGTTTTTCAGTGGTTTACTGTTGACTTATTTTTAAATATATTAGCATTACTACATGCAACTGTTTCCTGTAATTAATAGCCTACCTCTTTTATTTACCTTCATGTATCTAGCTTCCACCTACCAAAACAGTTTCAGGCTGGCAGGCTGCTCGGTGCCTTATTCTCTGTCATAACTGAATGCAATGGTTTTAAACACTGGCCAGAATGTTTAAAATGTTTGACTGTCATTTCAACACATGGAAATAGTTACATTAATGCCTAAGTTGCCATTTTCTGCAAAAAGCTGTGCAATGCTGGTGTCAAAGACTAGGCAGTCACTATTCATAATGGCTGTTGCAATGCCCTCGTGAATAGATCGAGGAGTCGCTTCCCAAGTCAATCGCCGCCTATGACCATTTAGCTCAAGTCGATAAGCAAAATTTTCTGCTTGCTTGCGTGTTCCTATCAGCTGTACAATTGCGAAGAACTGCTGGTGGCCATCATATTTTTCCTGTTTCTCCAAGACTAACATGAAGTGAAAGCCAAAACAGGACTGCATCATCACCCAGTCAACAGCACCAGGAAGATTAATGTCTGTGGCAAGGAAAACTATATCCTCTCCCTGTAGAGTTGTAATGGACTTATGCTGATGCATCAGATGGGGCATGACAGCATCCAAAGAACCTTGCCATTTACAGGAAGCACCAGGGCACGGACAGGAATAAGGCCTAAACTCACAGAGTTCTTCGTGGTCTGCTTTTTCTGTGTGAGGCAGAGTTATTTCACATCCAGAAGAGGCATATTTACAAGGGAAGAGTACTGAATTGGCCACTTTCTCCATAGCCAAGTTGCGAATGGATCCCAATGGGCCCCGGCAAGTTGGACAGCATGTGAGCTTTGGACGACAGTTGCTACAAACAAGATGGCCACTCTGACACTGAAGAATGGGTGGTAACACATAGTCAAAGCAGACTGGACACTCAAAAAGACTCGCCAAGTCATTGTTGGATGCAGTTGTGCCAGTCAGCGCAGGCACCCTCTGGGATGGTGTACACTTTGAAGTACCAGTAGGCAGTGCTGTAGCAGTCTGACGGCTCATTTCTGTAAAAAATAAAGAAAAATTAATATAGTTAGTTGTTTTATGTTTTCACTGTAAGCAAACAGGATTAAAACATAAAAGATATAAATTACACTAAACATGTATTTCAATAATTAGGAAGTCATGCTCATTTAGAAAAGTTCCAGAAAACATTTAGAATTCTTTTTAAGGAATTAAAATTTTTTAAAGTTAAAAATGGCCTTTGTTGCCAATTCCAAAACCACATGGAATAAGAATGCTAAAATAGAAACCAAACCACAACTTTAAAACACAAGTTGCTAACGTCCAACACGACAAGTTGCTTATGTCCAATCAATTCCTCCAGTCTATTTCTTTCTGATTCTGCTGAGTCAGCTGTTGATGCCTACGGGGAGTCCTCTCTCACTCAAATGCTAACAATCACAGAATTAAGGGTGACTGGTCAATGGGGAGACCTAGTGGTTTAGTATTTCCAAGTTCAGCTGTTAACTGCAAAGTCAGCATTTCAAACCTCCTTTGGAGAAAGACAAAGCTTTCTATTCTTGTAAAGAGTTGCAGTCTCGGAAACCCACAGGGGTAGTTCTACCTTGTCCTATAGGGTCAGTGAGTCAGCACTGACTCAGTACTCAGTAGCAGTGAGTGTGGAGTAAGAGTCCCTAATGGTGAGTGATTTGTTCTAGAGGCATATTGGGGGAAGGAGGAAGGGCCTGCTGCCAACCTATTGTCATCTAAGTAATCTTTCCCTAATACACTGACACTGGCTAAGTATAAACCTTCTGTGCTACTGAATCAAGGAGCCCTGAAGGTGTAGTGAGTTATACATTAGGCTAACTACAAGGTCAGCACTTCAAACCCACCAGCCCCTCTGAAAAAAAGAGATGAGGCTTTCAGTTGTCATAAAGATTTATAGCCTCTAACCCCACAGGGATAATTCTACCAACTGTGTGAGCCAACTAGATGGCTGTGAGTGTAGCTCCTAAATGCCTCTTTCAAGAATGAGAGGAAATTGTTTCTCTCTTGGAAGGAGTATCCTCAACTGTAAAGTTTTAGTTGGTACTTAAGAGTTCATTCTGTTCATGCCACGTTAAAAAAACAATGTGCAACAGGGATGAAAGTCAGAAAGCAACGGTAGATAAGTAAATGCACCGTAGAACTAGGTACCCTACTCAACTGGTAAAGAATTCCATGCACCTGGCTCACCAAACTCAGAGTAGTAAACATGATTTAAGCAAGAGCTAAATGTTATCTGGAAGAAGTCATCAACAATATAGCTAATTAGTCAGGCTAAATTTAAGACAAATGAGTTTTGATTCCCAGAAAAGATCAACTCCAGTGTTGATGTCCACCTAAGTATGTCACTTACTCTGTAAGCAATGTTACGGTTGATGTCTCTTCAATTGTGTAATTGTTACTCTACTGCAAAGAACTAATCTTTTAGGAAAAAATGCTAACTGACAAGGATTGCAATGGATGAATTAAAACAAAATATGTATATATAGTTGCATGTAAAACTGATAATCTATTCTGTAAACCTTCACCTAATCCACAGTAAAAAGTCTTCAAGAGAAACAGACCATGCGAGGTGTGAGTGGGCCTACTCACTTTATTCAGATTTTTGTTGAAAGAATGAATAGCAGACAGGTGATGGCTATTTAAACATAGTCATTTGCAGACATTTTCTCAAATAGACTGGCTGATACTTCAAATAAACAACTGGCGTGCTCATTGCCATGACAAAATGTAAATTACTATGAAGAAATTAGGATTATGGAGAACACTTTTCCTGCCACCAGCTTCTCTTTTAACATGTGAACTTTTTGAATAATGTCATATGCCAACATTCAGAATACGTAATGCATTGCTTGGTGAACCAACTCTTCCAAATGTTGTTACTAAAAATCCATTATAAATTAAAAGAGTCCTGTTGATTTTAATGTGATAGTATAAAAAAGGTATTGATTGATGAAACTACCATTTATCAAGTTTGGGTATTGTACCAAAGAAGTATACTCAAGTTACCTGGAATGATGGTAGAATCTTTTTCTTCTTTACTCAAAAATACCTCCTAAGTTGTCTTAAAGTAGCCTGACTGCCTAAGCATTATTTTAACACAGTCCATGTGAAATTAAATATGTATTTGAAAGATCAGATACTTTATGGGGTAATAAGTTTGTTAATGAGAAAGGGCACAAATGGTTGTACTGCTTCAAAAATGTAATCTGTATCACTAAATTATACATATAGAAACTATTTTTACTATGTATGCTCTCAATAAAATGAAATTTGAAAAATCTTCCCTTTTCAAAAAAAAAAAATGAAACAAGACAATGCTGGTTACACCAAGCTGACCATGTAAGCCAGTGTTTCCCAAAAGTGAGTGAGGAGTTGGGGAGTGGGAGGGGATGTTACTTGGATCATCCAGGAAGGTTGCAAAAGCATACACCTACACTTTAGCCTGGATCATTAACTGTATACCAGGAGAGCATTAAGTAATTTTTCCCCCTAAAAGGGGAGCCAAATAAGTTTGGGGAGGGGGACTAAAAATAATCAAGTTTGGGAACCAATTTACTCAAGCCACTGCAAATACAAGTGGGTTTCAAGAAGTTCGTGAAAAAGTGGAATTAAGAGAGCATGGAAATTGTCCATGAACTTTTGCTGAAGTTCCCTCATACTTCAAATGGAAGCTCAGGGTGTAAACAAAGGGGGAGATATCATATCCATTCTTACAAAGGCATATCCTTTAGTTGTTGGGAAAACAAAGGCCTGAGTAACCGAAGCAGCCTTTCTGGAAAAAAGGGCCAAAAGGCAGGCTGCTGTCATCGTTTCCCTCTACACATCCTCAGATGATCCCCCGTTTTATGTCACTTATCAAACAATGGGCTCAGCACTGCCAAAACTTCTTAAACCATGTCTGTGCTGGCTGCTCACTGAGCAACATAAAACTGGAAAGTGGTTCCATGGGCACAAAACAAGTCCATGCCAGCAAGGGTTTTCCAGTTACTACACCAATACATGAAGCACATCAAGGAGAACACTTCGTTTGTATTTAACCAAAATTACTAAGCAAGTAAACACTGGTTTTCAGTTTCTTGGCCTAGTAAAGTGTTAGGCATCTGTCAACAGTTCAGCCTCATGTTACTATAAAAGTTTTCCAAGTGTGTGGAAGTACAATTTTTATTCCTGTTCAATGTGAAAATAACTATGGCCAGTAGCTGTCTGATGAACAGCAGTATTAGACTAGCAACTGCTTTAAAAACAAAAAAACTCCAAAGGTGAAACCCAACTCTCAACCCCCCAGCAGCAGCAGCCTTGCAGTAGGAACCAAAGCCAGGCCCGTGGGCCCCGGCTCACCCTGGGGGGAATTTGGCTGCGGAGTCATTTCCTGAGCCAGTCAAATTCCACTCAAAACAACTTTGAAGTCTCAGAATTTAAGCAATCAGGCAAGCTCTTAATGCCAGTACCTTTTCTCTTCCTTTGCCTACCTGATGGTAAACAGGAGTACAGCAAAGGGAGGATAGGCTTCCCGTCATGACCAGTCAGGCAGCACAATGAGTTTCTTCAAGAAGCAAAAACAACGTGTAACAGAGGTCCCATCTGGACACTTTCTGTTCGTCAGCAATGAAGACTCGGATTCTTGTCAGACATCAGGGTCTCAAGAAACGAAGATAGGTGCCCTGCTCCACACATGCCATTCCCTCCAGCACCAGCTACAGTGGCGGGAAATGAAGCGTTTCTCATCCCAAGGAAGTCGGCCACACCTCCGTGCTCGCTCAAACTCGCCCGCGTGTCCCAAACTGGGAGCCATTGCTGAGCTATCGGCTGTGTCCTAAACCTTCGTCTAACTCCAAAGCTTGTCTTCCCACAATTGGCTTGCGAGGCTAGGCTGGGCTGAGCCGGGCTGCAGGAGGGCGCGGTGGTGGCTGGGGGACACTCTTGGAGCCCGTCTGGAGGCAGCGTCTGGCCCGCCGAGGAAGAAGAGCCCTTTACCACCCACAGCTGGGACTGCGTCCTGCCACCACTTTGCGCTGCGCCCAGGCTGGTGGCTGCTTCCAGTACCGCTGGGGGGAGGGGGGGGGCCCTCGGGGGATGCTACAAAGCCCCACCCCGCCGGCCACAGGGGCGGTGACCAGGCGGGCTCCTCCATGCACGTGGGCGGGCGGACGCCAACCCTGGCGGGGGACACAAAGGCCTGCGACCCTCCACCTCAGGTGCACAATATCTGTCTCAGCACTGCCACCCATTTGGGCTGGATCATGCCGGTTTTTTATATGTCAAAACCGTGAACATGGACAATTTCATGTGAGGAATGAGTCATCAGACTTTGCCACTCTTCTCGGCACAATACTATCTTGCCAAGCTTTCTGATGTCATTCAATCACTATCAGGTGCCAATTAGCGAATTTCCTCAATTGTAATGCCCATCTAGACCACAGTTAACATTTCTCTGAAAGTGGGAGGCCTCTTAAAGGCAATATATTTAATTTACATATTTAGCAAGGCAATGCTTTCTTTCTCCTGATCCCACATACTTTCATTAAAATGATGACTTAAAAGCTGATGGAACTGCAAGTTCGGTAATACAGTAAAGGGGGCCTTCAAAAATGTTGAAAAAAATAGAATTAAAAGACAACGGACATTTCCCCCCACAAATTTTTTGAAGCCCCCGCCCCAGTATAACCTCAGAAGAATATTTCACTGCTTTATTTTGGGGAAATTAGGGAACAAACAAACCAACACCACCAGTCCCATTCCACAAAAACACTTTGCAGGGATAGTAGCAAGCACACCAAATTAACTACCGTACTTCAACATCCAAATGTAGACTGTATTCTCTTCACTCTGGGAAAGCCACCTCAAACTGCCTCATTAATTTACAGTAGCTTGTTTTGTTTTTAAACAAGCAAAGCCATTGCCCCAATAAAGTCATGGGCCTCAGACTGCATTACATCAGCCATTTGGAGATTTAACCTGTCATTAATTACATCATCCTTAGAAAAAGCCTTTCAAGAAGATCATAGGAGTTGGTAGTGAGAACCAGGAACTCACAATGCAATAGCGTAGATTATTCATTTTTTTAGCAACAAATTCTGACTCACTTCCTCTAATCTCCAAACTCAATCATTTAATTTTTTTTTAAAAGACCTCACAGCCATCAAATCAATTTCGACTCATAGCAACGCTTTAAGACAGCGCAGAACTGACTCTGTGGATTTCCAAGCCTTAACAATTTAAGGGAACAGAAAGCCTCTTTCTTCAGAGGAGCAGCTGGTTATTTCAAATTGCTGGCCTTGCAGCTAGCAGCTCAATCGGTATCAGCTACGCCACCAGGACACAGTAGCTAATATCAGGCTACCAAAAACATCACTATGTATACATAGGGACTATTACTGAAAATAGATAGGATCTAATAGATAAATGTAACTATTTTCTGCCTCTTTCTAATGCTTATTCACTCTAGATGAGGCAGATGTCAAACATGAGGCAGTGAAACTCTTCCAAACAATTAACTCTGTATGAAATTAGTGTATAAAATAAACTGCTGACTCCCAAAAGAGCTACAGAGCGCTACAGTACACTCTAAAAATACTCAATCCAACAGGTGAGAACAGAAACTGGGGCTATAAAAGTGATGAGTTTTTGAGTCACTTAAACTTGGACTGATGATAAAAGTGGGATAATACTTGCAACCTCATTTGGTTTTTATCTGGATTAAGATGCTAGGTGTGTACATTACAGCTGCTGCCATTAAGCAATTCTAACTCAGCAACAGAATAAGGATGGAAGACATGCCCAATGCGTTTCCAAGGCTGAAATCTTTATGGAAGTCGATTTATATATCCAAATTATATAAGTATTCACAGGCATAGAAAATTAATTGGCCAAGGACATTAGGTACACTCATGGAACTGAGGGCAAGGTCTTCAGTGGGTTCCAGATATATAATGGGTCTTCAAAAAGTTAGTGGAAAAATGAAATTAAAAGGTAATGAATTTTTTCAAGTTTTTGAATCCCTATTTAATATTGGTACACCTCAGAGATACTGTGAGCTCAGTTTAAGACCACTGCAATACAGTTAATCACACAATATTTTTTGTTTCCTATTGCATGTAAAAGTCATGTTTACACTATAATGTTAGTCCATTAACTACCATCTGTATTACAAGTTTGAAATAATGTAAGAATTACCAAAAGGTACAATGGACATTGAGCTGAGCATATGCTGATGAAAACATGATCCCTACAGAGTTCCTCGATGCAGGGTTGCCAGAAACCTCCAATTTGTTAAAAATAAAAATATAACTTCCACAAAACAAGGCATATATACCTATATTCGATAACTCCGAATGAGTTAGTTATCCCTAAGCAGTAGGAATGTCTTTTTTCAATAAGTAACTACTGTTCTGTGTCCAATTGTGTATAAGAATAAATGGAGATGGAACATCAAATCAGTTTTGTAATTAGTCTGATTGAGAACTGTGAAAAGTAAAAAGAAAAATGCCTGCATTCCACACTGCCATCAAGTCAATTCCGATTCATACCAGCCCTATATAGGATTTCCAAGGCTGTAAATCTTAGTAGATAAAATTGCCTAAGATCTATAAAATTACATGTATCATATATAACAAATTTGCTCGCTCCATTAGTAATCAGTGGGTTAAATTCCTCAATTTCAAACCATTTAAGACTTTCCTCCCTCCCTAACCCCTTTTTGTAAAAAGGTGTTTTCATTTCTGTATTTAATGCAAACATCTAACATGCTCAGTTGTTATCAGAATGTTGGAAGTCCACCTGAGAAGAAAGGCCTGGCAATCTACTATCAAAAAGCCAGCCCACGAAAACTCTTTGAGGCAGTTCTACCGTGGTGCACATGAAGCCACCAGGAATTGGAGTTAGCTCAAATGAAACTGGTGGTGATCAGAGTTACAGTTCATACAAAATGTTAAATTATGTTTTAAAAATGAGCCTCTTTTCACACAAACAAAAATTAAGGGAAAACTCAAACTCACTGCCAACTCATAGCGACACAGGTTTCCTTACAACTTCAAAAGTTTAACACAATAAAAGTTAAAAATCAAACTTATATATAAAGACAATGTTGAGAAAAAAACATATTAATCTATTTCAGTTTCCAGATCTTATTGGTCAGTGATAAGAGTATTTATTAAAACATGTACTTTTTCTCCTAAACGTTGTTTCTCTGAAAATAATTCAGAACATGATTAACTATAAGTTATATTTCTAATTAACAGTGATGAATCAAATGGATATAACTGAGGGCAAAGGACTGATACCTGATAGATGGCTCAACACACAGAGACAGTCAATGAGCAAAGTGCATTTACTTTTTATAATCCCAATCACTGAAAGGCTTCCACAACCAACAAAAGACCAGACACAAGCAGCTGGCTAGAAAGATTCTAACCCATATATGACCCCAGGTGTCAGTGTAGGGTTTTTGCCAATGGCTTTGACTTTGTTTTGGAAAGTGATTGCCAGGTCTTTCTCCCAAGGTGTGTCTGAGTGAACTTGAATCTCCCTCCACTTTACAGCTACCAACTGAATATATTAACCAGGTCCTCCACTACGCCAACATGTACTCACTCTACACCTATAAAGTATGCTGGTATTGACTCCATGGCAATGAGTTTGGATTTTCTATTAATCATTTAGCGGCTCTGGTGGCATAATGGTTACATGTTCAGAGGCTCAGAAACTCATACGGGTAGTTCTATCCTGTCCTATTGGGTCACTATGAGTTGGCTTCAACTAGATGGCAATGAGTTTGGTTTGGGTATTAAGCACTTATCCTTAATGCCTCCAGCAAAAATACAAGGGGGTAACCCCAAAAAAACCCACAACAAAGCTCCACTGGACAGAGCTTTCATAGTATGCATTTTTTTTCCCCTGCTAGACGAGCATCTAGTACCTTGCTCAGAGTCAGTGCACCCAGTGGTGTCACCTGGGAAGGTTCTCTCTGGTCAGTGACTTTTTTCATAAAAGCACAGTTTCACTGGAACCTCATTTTTTTCTGATGGCCAATTTAAGAGAGTAGCTTGTGGCTGTGAATTTTTGTTTCCTGCTCAAGTAAAATGCCACAGAAACTGTTGTGATGTTTAACAGTTTACAAGAACAGTGCTATGGGGGAAAAAATCAAATGTACAAGTGGTTTTCTTTCAAGATGAAATGGCAATCGACAAACATCATTCTGCAAGTCCGTCAACTTCCTGAACTGACGAAACTGTCAATAAAATGTGTGCACTTGTGCTCATAGACCAATGACGACAGACCATTGAAGATGGGCAAATGGGTAACCCCCCATGAGGACCATTGATAATGGGGAAATTATCTGGACTATCTTGGAGCTCAGTTCAGCAAATTGTAATGGAAGATTTGAGAATAAGGGTCACCGCAAATTTGAGCATGGATTCTGACTGATCAGGAAAAAGAGCACTGAGTGGAAACTTGCTGTGCTTTGAAAGAACAGCTCTGAGGTGACCCAGACTTTTTTTTCTTCCCAAGGTTATTACTGGTGAGGAAGCATGGTGTTATTCTTACAACCCCTAAAGCAATCAATCAATCAAGCCAGTGGAGGAGGCTATCTTCACCTCACACCTAAAAAATAAAAGCAAAGCTCAAGGTGCTCATTTGGTTTATTGATGTGAGGGGGACTGCATTTGTAGCTCGGTACACCAGGTCAGACTGTTAATCAGGCTTTCTATTTGGAGGTTCTGAAGAGACAGCATAACAGTGTGTGGGGAGTGGCATGGGGGGGGGGGACCTGATTTGTGGCAGATGGAGGACTGGTTTTGCTGCCACAACAATGCATCTGCTAATGCAACCATCTCAGTGCGCCAGTTAT